GCAGGGGTAGCGGGCACTGCCTGTGTGCCTTCCCCAATCAGTACTGACAGTGGCCTTCCAGCACCTCACACCCCCACCTCCCCTCTAGTAGGGGTGAGCCCAGGAAAAGGTGTAGGCTGAAGGTAGGGCAGGACTCAGGTAGTGCCTGCCCCTTCTTGGCCTAGACTGATGACACCCCCCCGAGTGGCCAGGACCAAGACACCAGCGACACCAGTGGGCACACACCCCTGGGCCTTTTACTGGACACATTCCTTCCACATACATTACCTGCCCTCTGCCTTGGCCAGCCCCAGCCAGGCACGTGGTGCCTCCCCAGACAGGCTTAGCCAGAAAAAAGCAGGGCTGAGGTGGCTGCTCTGATGCCACATGGGTGCCTCTGGTCCACCCTCCCCCCAGTGGGCTCTGGGGGCAGAGGGCAGGTTCCAGAGCTGGGGGCTGGGGCTGGGGCTGTCTATCCCTAGGTAGCAGCTGTGGGCAGAGGATAGGAGGCACACAAGTGAGGCTGAGAGAGCTCGCTTGGATGGCAGAGGGACACCCTCTCTGGCCCTTGTCTGCCTGTCTGGGGCAAATAGGGCCAACACCCAGTGATCCCCAGGTAGCCAATTACTACCTGCCCTGGCCAGGTGTGGGAGGGCTGAGGCAGCTGAGACACCTGGGTCTCTGGGAGGGGGCTGTGTGTGTGTGTGTCCAGTGTAGTGAGGAGAGTCCCGGGCAGGGTTATGTCTACCTGTAGTGTGCAGCAATCAGAGCCACACATTCAAATCGCAAATATTGTCCCAAATCTGTTTTCTAAGGAACTAACTCACTGCTATCGAGTTGATTGCTATTCGTAGCGATCCTACAGGACAGAGTTGCACTGCCTCTGTGGGTAGCTCTCTCTGGGAGTCGAAAGCCTCATCTTCCTCCCTCAGAACATCTGGTGGTTTCAAACAGCTGACCTTGTGGTGAGCAGCTCAACGTGTGACCACATCACCTTCTTCAGTGACATGAAATTGATGCCATCTCTCATCCCTCCTGGCAATAAATGTAACCGCAGTCCCTCTGAGGACCCCTGGCAGACCCTTTCTGAGCCATGTGCAGGTGACAGGCCTCTTCATAGCAAGGTCCTGTGGCGGCCAAGCCCACCAGGTGAGGTCCTCTGGGGTGCTAAAAGGCTGTAGGACCCGCCCTTCTAAGAGCACCTGCAACCACAAGTCCTGCCGTCTTGGGTGTTGTGTTAGACAGAGTTCTCTAGAGAGATGCAATTTGGTTTTATCTGGCACAATAAACTATCTCAGGTGTCATGGTTGGGCTGTGACGCTGAGAACACCTTGAACTCTGGAGGGATGGATGCTCCACATTTGCCACTGGGGCCCCTGGGGGAGCAGGATCCTCGGCCCTGTCAGGCCTAGGCCGGCCAGGGCAGGTCAGCTCGGGTGCTATGGGTGCTGACAGCATGGTGTCTGGGGGAGCCACCAGGAGTGGGGGCAGGGCAGGGACTGAAGCACTCAGGTGAGGCAGGAAGCAGGAAGCAGTTAGCACTTTATTGGGACATGGCCCGGGGGGACTCTCCAGAGCACTCCACCCCCACCCCCGCCCCCCAGAACGCCTGTCGTGGGGACCCAGGAATTCACAAAGGCACACAGTGGTTCTTGAGGAGCTGGGACGAGTTCTGCCAGGGAACCACCAGGATCTCAAACTGACAGCGCAGCCTCTGCGGAGAGAGCAAGGGGCGGGGTGAGCCAGGCCCCCAGGCTGCCCCTCTCCTCCCCACCCCCCTGCTGAAGGGCTGAGTCACCCAACAGGTCCAGCCTGGCCCTGGAAGGGGGGGAGGGGGACTCCAGTGATGTTACCTCCTCCTCCACACCGGTGGCCAGGGGGCAGACGGACAGGTTCACCTGGCGGTCCCCGGTCACCGCGGTCTTGCGGCAGGCAGTGCTGCCCATGTCCACCAGCAGGTAGTACTTGATGCCGGACACCAGCTGCGGGAGGGCAGGAGGGAGCTGAGCCACGGGGCTGCCCAGGGATGCCCGCGCCAGCCTTCCCTCCCACCCAGTGAGTCCTGAGGAGGCTGCTCCCTCAGCGGGGCAGAGGTGGGAGACTCAGCGCTGGGGGGTGGGGGTGGGAATCAGGGGTGGGAGGGATGAGGCCAAGAGCCCTGGGCAGGCCCCGAACCGGAGCCCACGGTTCCCATCTCCCCATCACTCCCACGTTCCCCGCCACCCCCATCTCCTCCACCTCCACGTCTCTCACCTTATCCAGGCCCCCCTCTGTCCCCCTCTGTCCCTGCCTGCTCCATGTCCCTATTCCCCCAGCTCCCTCGCTTGCATGTAGTGGAAATAGTTGGTTCATCGCGAACTTTCGGCATTAACTTCTGCTTGTAAGAAATAGCGCGTGCAAACACCGATCGCTCTTTCCGAGACCGGTCTCTGGGCAACCCGCAGGTACCAGCTCCTGGCCCTGCCCCCGTCTCCCGCCTGCCCGGGCCTCGCCGCACCTGGCTCTCCGCCTGGATGATGTCCGTGTCGCGGAAGTAGTAGAGGCTGTTGCTGCCCATGTTGTAGGTGGCCACGGCCGCCTGCGCTGCCATCTGCACTTGCGGGTCTTCGGGCGACAGGGGCCGGCGCTCGCCGGTCCTCGTCGACCCTGGCCGGGCCCGGGCATCGTGAGACAGCACCAGCAGGCCGAAGGTGGCCAGCGCCAGGCACAGCGCCGCGGCACGGATCACTCGGGTGGGCTCCATGGTCCTCTGCTGAAGCCCGGCGCCCTGGCTCGGCTTTTGTAAGCCCCGAGGCCCCGCCCCCAGCCGCAGCCCCGCCCACCGCCCCGCCCACCGCCCCCCGGCCTGGCCACGCTGCGGGCGCCGAGCTGGACCCGCGCCCAGCGAGTGGACAGCGACAGGCCCCGCGACCGAGGGTCAGGGAGCCAGCTCTTCGCCCGCAGTTATTTCACCTCGGTTACTCTCTGTGCGACCTGGGATAAGTGACCGCCGGACACAGCCCCAGTTCCCAGTGAAATGGACCCTGTCCAAGGGCGCACGGGACTTGGGTTCCACACTGAAGAGTTTGGGGAAAGAATAAAATCATCCCGGATTGAGCACTTTCCTGGAGCGGGTTCACCAAGTCCCGCCCTGTCCACAGAGGACCCAGGAACTGACCGGACCCTAACACAAGCTCTGGCTCTCCCAGGGCGGACACCACGCAGGAAAGGCAAACACTCTCCGATGTTGTGTTTTGTTTTGTTTTTTAAGTGTATTGGTATATAATTCACGTATCACACAATTCAATAGTCCAGTTACATCAAGAAGAGTTGCGCAATCATCACCACAATCCGTTTTAGAACATTTTCTTCATTGTTTTTTTTTAAGTAGGGCTCATACAACTCTTAGCACAATCCATCCATCCATTGTGTCAAGCACATTTGTACGTATGTTGCCATCATCATTCTCAAAACATTTGCTTTCTACTTAAGCCCTTTGTATCAGCTCCTCATTTTTCCCCACCCTCATGAACCCTTGATAATTTATAAATTATTATTTTGTCATATCTTACACTGTCCAACATCTCCCTTCACCTGCTTTTTATTGTCCAT